CCCGGGGAGGGGCGTGGCCTCCGGAGAAACGCGGGACGCCATTCTGCAGCGGTGGCGGGGGGGTGGTGAGGGAAGAGGACGTGGGGAGGGCGGTGAGGAGAGAGACCGAGGAGGGGCTTCAGAATAAAATAGGAGGCGCAGGCGGAGGACGGCGAGGGGCAGTGGGGCTGGGAGGAGAAAGCCGGGAGGCGCCAGCCCCCTTCGGCCCTTCCACCCCCACAAAAACACTCTTTTTACCGGCAGAAATTTCACCTCTCAGGCGGGAAACTCGAGTAACCCGGCACAGAGGGTCCCGGGGTGGGGCGGTGCTCTGAAGACCCTTTCCCGTCGCTAACCCCGAGTGGACTCCCCCTCATTCCGTGACCTACGGACCCAGAGGGACCCCAGCGAGGCGTCAGCGCCGCGCCCGGCTGCGCGGTGGGAAGAGGGGGGCCCCCGCTTCTGCGCCCTGCAGGTGCCGGCGGGGAGACGCGGCTGGAGGCCTGGCACCTGCGCGCTGGGGAGGCCGCTAGCGCGGGGTTCCATGGTGTAATGGTTAGCACTCTGGACTCTGAATCCAGCGATCCGAGTTCAAATCTCGGTGGGACCTTCCCGCTCGGGTACCCCCGACAGCGGACCTTTTACTGCGGCGGGCTCCCGCGGCCGGGCGGGTCTCGGGTGCGGGAAGATCGGGCGGGGAGGGGCCGGGAAGCGATTCAAGCTGCACGGTGAGAAACCTGGGGTCAGCGGAGGAGCCCTCCATGCCCCCCTCCCCCCGCCCCCCGCGGGAAACCTTTGGGCACCCGGGGTGGCAGGCAGAAGCAAGCCTGGGCCAGGCTCCTGCACGTCCCGCCGCTGCGCCCCTCCTGTTCCCTCAGAGGGAGGAATAAGAGATGCAGAACCGCGTCCTTCGCTCAGTCGTGGGGTGCTCAGACTCAAGCTCTGGTTTCAAGCGCAAGGCTGGGTGCGTTTCCTTCTCTCCCTCAGATCCTTCCCCACTAACTAGCCACAGAGACTGTGGGGGCCGGTAAGGGCCGAGGTTGTCCTAAACGCTGTCCCGAGTATCGGGGACTCTCCAGCGAAGCCCTGAGCTTAGCCACAGCGCACAGTCACCAGCTGGCTAGTTCCACTTTGGCCCCCCTGACGGGCTCCGGCCAGCCAGGTGAGCGCGCCAGAGCCAGAGCGCCTCCCAGTGCCGGGCCCCCAACCCGCGCGGCTCCCCCTTGTTCTGCCCCAATTGTGTGCCCCAAAGACTCCATGGGAAAGAGGCCGAGACTTTCGATTCACAGAAAAATTTAGACAGAGCTTCTGCACCCAGAAGACCTGAAACTGCTTGCCCTGCCTTGCCTGGTTTTGGTTTTTGGGTGGTGGTAGCTTTTTGTTTTTGTTAAATTTCCTTTCACTCTTTGTGAGAGTATGATAGATCATGTATGGAATAAATCACTTGGGGGTGTGTGTGGGCGCGAAGCCAGGTACCCCGCTGGCTTCTTTGAAGTTGAGTGGCGGTACCTTTTCCTAGCCCCTGAGCTGCCCTGGACACTGCCCCGCCTGTGCGAAGGAAAGTGTCGTGGGTTAATCAACAAGTGTCACAGCCGTGCAATTCTTAGTGTCTTCTCCGTCCTCCTCCCTCCCACCATCACCCCCCCCCCAACCCCCAGGCCCCGACCCAGGAGTGCATCTCTGTACCCAGCATTAGGCGCCACCTAGGTGCCAGGTCCTGGTCTGCACCACGGGCTGCCCGGAGCCCACACCTAGAACCTTCCACAGAGCCACACCCCGGAGCATAGAGCTTCTGGCCGCAGCCGGCTCCGCGGGGATCTGGGCGTGACCTGGGCGTGACCGCCCGGGCTTGATGGGCGGGGAGGAGACCAGGACCGGTGACTTCACCAAGGGGCTGCAGAGGACACCTGGCGACCCGGGTCGACAGGCCGCGGGCGGGTTTGGTGACCACGTCCACGCGTGCAGGGATGTAGCCAGCGTTTCCTGTGCCGTTGGGGTCCTGGAGTGGGAGAGTCTGGCAAAGCAGGAAAGTCGGTCGCCCCAGTCAGCTGGGGGACAGAGATCGTTGTGCACTACTGCAAGAGGCGACTGGAAAGGATATAATTAAGTAATAACAGCCCGAGCTGCCGACAGCAGCTGTCTCTGTGGCGCAATCGGTTAGCGCGTTCGGCTGTTAACCGAAAGGTTGGTGGTTCGAGCCCACCCAGGGACGCTGGACCCGGCTTCTCTTGAGCAGGTCTCCCCCTTTGGGAGACCATCTTTATGGCGCTTTTGGCCCTCCAAGACCCTCTAACAGAGACCACAGCCAAGAACAGTGCCTGCCCACTACCGGAGCGGAGAGCGGCCAGAGCATGGGGCGGGAAAAGTCACTCAGAGAAGCACCCTGTTGTGCACTTCCCTGTGCAGTTCCCGGCTTTTACAACTGCATAACCCTGAAACACTGCACGTTCCGAAAATGGGGAACAGGAGAACCCCGGTTGACACACGGAGGGAAGTCACTGGCGCTGGGCAGAACCCAAGTCCTGGCCTCGCTATTTGTACCCCCAAAGGGAACCTCGCTCTCGGAGGGCGAGGGTGGCTCAGAGCTTGAGTGAGTGCTGGTGAAGCAAAGAGCTCCCGCAGGTCATACTGCCCAACCTTCCACACACCTTAGCGCTCATCAGGCTCCTTGCTATCAGTATTTTCATTATCTACTCTGCTTTTTTAAAAATACTGATATGAATACCCCGTTATTAAAATATTCTTTTGAAAAATGTAATCGTTTTATTTTTATTACTAAATGCATGGCTAAACTCACATCAGGAAGGCGAAACTTTAGGAAATTTAGAACATATGGAATATTTGTTTGACCTCAGGAAGTCTCTCACATGATAACAACTTAAAAAATGAGTAATATGAAGATCCTAAAATGGCAGAGAAAATAATTAAACGTAAAAACTGGGAAACGAGGCTGCTTCACAGAAAACATGGTCTATTGAAACATTCTCTAATTGGTGATGACAAAAGTGTCTTCAGTGTTTATTATTGCAAATAATTCTGCAGGACAGCCTGAGCCTTATCCATCC